GCCTACTGTCTAATATATTTAGCCAGATTTAATTGAAACTTTCATCAGTTTGCTTAGTTTCTTAAGTTAGCTCATTGATGACTGACAGATGATGTTACAAGGGGAATGAGACCTGGAGGTTTTGGGGGTGGAGCTTAGCAAGTTTGAAAAACAAATATTTAACAAAATATTTAATAATCTATGAACAAATTAAGAAGTTCAAAATATGAGATGTATGCAGGACTGCACACCAACAGAAATACTACATGTACACTTGTATTTCGATGTCATGGGCCCTTTAAGTGGGAAAATAACGACCATTAGTTGTTGAATCAACTTTAGTGATTGTGTGTGTGTACATGTACATGTATGTGTGTGTATTGGGGTTTTGCAATCCTAAAGTAATAGTCTGATTTTCAGACCCTTGTACCCAACAGTTGTACATGTACGCTTTGTGCAGAGCAACCATTCAATCAGTTCAATTTTGGCCATTACAAGAATTGGGTTATTGATGTAGGCAAATGCTCCTGTACCCTTTACAGCTAATTTTATTAATATTACCACAAAAAAGTCAGTCACTCAATAGTGTCTGACAGTGAAGTCTAGAAGGTAAAAGGGTTTCCTTGCATAATTTGAATATTAGGAAACTGCTTACGTTCAAATTTCAGAGATAGGACATGCGTGACATGCTCATAATTCCTGCAAAGTTCTACAGAATTTGACTTTGGCTGCAAAAGGGACACATGTAGTACCTTTAAAGGCACACTGTCCTACTTGTAGCTACTTGCCCCCTCTATATAGAAAACTTCCCCAATCGGTGCCTGTTGGTCCCCCATGATACTCTTTTTCTTATGTTAAATGAGAGCTGAGTTAATGAGATAGCCACCTGTCACAGTGACCTCGCTGGCTCGCTGGGTGGTCTAATCCCTTCTGGCTGAAGTAGTAAAGCCTGCCTTTAATATCCATAATTTCTAAGACTGATATTTCCATATTTAATATTTTCTCAAGAATTGAAAAGAATTATGAATTGTAAGCAGCAGATTTGTTACCACAATTAATCATTCAAGCGACATGTACGTTGCTAATTGTGTGTCTCTGTTTATCTTTGGCTGATTCTGTACATGTGTGCACGCAGGAAATATAAGATTTCACACCATCACACATACTGTAAGGACACAGAAGAGGGGCATGGAATAACTTTACAAGCTGGATAAAGGACCAAGTGGCATGGACCAATGTTGCATGCACAGTCTGGATACTACACTCTCATTACCCTGAGCCATTGTACGCCTTTCAAATGAGCTACAAAGCGTGATATAGAGTCTGTTTCTGGAGACTATTCCTTGAGTAAGGCCAACCCAAAGCATTGCCGTCATATAGAGTCTGTTTCTAGAGACTATTCCTTGAGTAAGGCCAACCCTAAAGCATTGCCGTCATTCTCTCAGCAATTAGGATCCAAACGCATCACAAGACAAGTCTTCAGGAGAACACAAATATGCCTGATAGGCAGTGCAGCTAATGAAATCTTGTGTCGCAGCATTTTGTCTGTGCGTTCGTCCACAATCATCAGAGAATGATAGAGAGAGATCACAGAGCAAGGGGAATGAACAGAGATTGGAAAGAGGAGAAGCAGAGAAAAAAAGGGAGAGAAGGTGTGGAAAACGAGGGGGAAATAAAAAAGAAATATCAAAGTAGAAATTCAGAAAATAGCATACAAGGAGAGATAAAAGAGTAGAGAAAACGAAAGAAGTGTGTATGACATGAAAAGAAAGAAAACCAGAGAGGAAGCAAGGAAGACGAGTTGAAAACAGGCAAAAATGTCAAAAGATGTATTCCTTATAAAAAGGAAATTGGTGCAAGCTGGTTGCGAACTTGAAACAAGGCCGCTCAGCTCTGCAAACAAGCTAGTTACTAGCTTGCAAATGAGATTATCTGTCAGCCAATCAGGACAGAGGAAATATATTTGCAGGTCAAGAAATTTACAAGCTCGCAGTCTTGTAACTGGCAACCTTGCATGGTTTCAAAATGCAAATGAAGCAGTTTTTTTAGCCAATCCGAAAAGAGAAGCGTACAAGCTTGCGCGACCTCGCAAGCTTATTTATATATTTTCCTTCAGCGTTTACCTATCAAATGCATCATTTAACAATCTTAAATCTGAGATGCACGGCCCTACGTGTTATCAGTGTCTGTGATATGGTGTAATATTGAAGCCCTAACAAAATTCCGCTTCAAAATGATCAAGAAGTGCCTCAAAAAAGTAAAAATCTTTGAGTGACCTGTTTAGCCATACTCGTTTTCCCAAATAGACTGTAGTGTTATGAAAATGGTACCGTTAGGAAAACGAAAAATGAAATTTCGATTTCCAATCATAATTATCTTGATAATCAGAATGATGATTGGCTTGTTAAAGTCATGGGGTTCCTGACTGACCTAAAGGTTTATAATTATCATTGAAGCATGAGCTAAATCCGGAATTTCATTTCAGAATCAGAGACAAAGTTACCAAATTCCTTTAAAGGAGCTACACAAAGAAAAAATTACTACAACTGATAATTATGTACATATGGATGGAAAGATTTTCTCTTGAAAAACATGAACAATTTGCTGAGAAATCATATAGATATCATGGAAAGGCGTAAAAATGCAACTTTTCAAGACCCTTCTTAGACCCCCGAACGCCCCTGAACGTAAGCCAAACACACGAGCATAGCGAGCTCTGAATAGTGACGTCACACACTGGACAACAGCTCAGTACCGGAGTCGCGCGTGTAGCAGTCTGCAGCTAGCCAGCCGTGTCCCATGTGTGACGTCACAAATAGTGACGCTCTACAAAGGACAGAAAATCTGGATCTCAAAACTAACATTTTTGAGAGTTGGTTACTGCGGGCCCCAAACATATTTTGAAGAGGAGAGTTGTTGTATTTGATCAGTAAGGCTTCCCCTTTGCAATGATATGAGTTTTGCATCAATTCAAAACACTTTTGTTTCTTTGTGTGTCTACTTTAAAGCATGTTGAGAGCCTTTTTCAAAGGTATAATGCACTATTTAAGATCTGTATTTGTATTATTATACAGTATGTGTATATATAAACCAAACAACGATTATGATACCGTATTTTAGACCTACCGGTAACTAGCAAAGAATCAAAGGTTTCGAGATATTTATTGACCATTAAAAGTGTGCATACACTTTACATGTAATATCTTTTGTGCTGTACGTTTACAGTGACAATAATTTGGTCATAGATAGGGTTTGTCCAAATATCTGAAATACACAAAAGTAAATTGTACTACAGTGTATATGCACATGAGATTATGCAAATACTCTACCAACAGTTTGAAAATATTTGTTAAATATTTGCAACATTTCATTTTTTGTAGTAATTTAAGGAATTTTTGAAGAAGTTTAATATAGCATTTTTTATTTTAAAAACTGTTTATGTAACAAACTGAACACTGGGTAATTGGTGTCACTTATTTGATTTATCTTTAATTGTGGTTGTGTTAAAAAGTTGGCAAGACTCTTGGTCTGCAAGCCTACAAGAGCTTGAGATTGCACCCCTGCAAATTTTGCAAGCTTGCAGGGCATATCCTCTTGCCTGTATAAGTTTGTGGCAAGCTTAAAAGAGCTTTAGACTGTGCACCTGCAAGCTAGCAAGAGATTTAGTTTGCGCCCCTGCAAGCTCCACACGCTTGCTGCAAGCTTGCAGGGCATACACTGTTGGCTTTCAAGATTTCAAGGGCTTTATATTGCGCTCATGAATGCAAGCTTGCAGGGCATATCCTCTTTGCCTATTAAAGGGATTTGGTATCTTTGCCTCAGATTCTAAACAAAATCCTGGATTTACATGTACAGTAGCTCATGCTGCAATCATAATTATAAACCTTTAGGTCAGTCAGGAATCCTATGACTTTTACAAGCCGATCCGTTGTCTGATTATCAAGATATTTATGATTGGAATTTGAAATTTAAAAGAACGTTTTCCCTGTGGGGGCATAATTTACATACAGGTATTCATATGTTTTTAATGTTTTCATACTATAGTAACAATAATCTTTCATAGATAAAATCATAGAATCTGCTATTATTTTCTGCTACTTCAAAATGAAAATTGCTTTGAACATTACAAAAGTGTTTAAGGAAAATGTGACGATTGTGTCATTTGATGATTTTTTTTTTTTGAATGCCTGCACTACAGTAATTTAAACATATTTTCTTTTTATACAATCACTTGGAAGTATTAAACTAGTAAATGTATTCCAACACGGATACGATAGAGAGGGTTACATGAGATTTTACATTGTTCACGGAAAATGCAACATCTGAAACAGCTTTTTTTAATTGCACTGTTCACTCAAAATACGAGAGATGAATCAGTTTAATTTTTAACTTTCTTAAAGATTTACCTAGCTCATTAATCACCAATAAAACAGACAAATACAGTGTACTAGCCTTAACTGGCACCCATAGGCCTGCACGGAGCTGAGAGGCAGATTTAAACGAAAGCTAAAATTCATCCAAAATTGTCCCTGGCCCTTCTCGCACCCAACAAATATTGCACAGTGGACTCTTCTTGCATCTCATAAAAGGCATTTTAAAATCGGTCAAAAATAAATATGAAATGTCAGATTTTGCTACCAGAGTAGCGATTTGCTATGTTCCTGATGATAGTTAGTAAAGGCGATTTACATGACAAAAACATGTAAGTCTTTAATACGAGAGCTTGCAATTTTAGTTCTGGCTGAAATGCGAAGACACAGTATACACGTAAAGACTGTTTTTTGCGTTGCCAATTTGATATTTACTTCACATTATTCAGCGTTTAATGTTAAAAAGCGTGCACGCAGGGAGTTCGCTAAATTCAGCGAACTCCCTACATGCACAATGTTGTAAACAATATCTAGATGGGGACAGGTCACAATAGTCGATACAAAACAGACATACAGTGAAACACAATAAAAAGAAAAACCATATGAAACTATTATCAAAATAAAGACATGTTCCATGCCTAGTTGACCTACCTTTGTTGCCCATCCAGTAGTCCACCAAACACCACCATCTTGCTTCCTATAATGCTAGCAGAATGGCCTGCCATGGGTGGGGGTGACGGACTTGTTGCCACACAAGACCACTTGTTCTTATGAGGGCGGTAGACATGAAGCTCGTTGAAAATTTGAGGTGCAAGATGAGGGGGATGTGGCACAGGTGGAGCAAGTCCGCCAAAGAGGATCAGGTTACCCTTGTAGTTGACCATGGTTGCTGATCCCTTAGGGCTGGGGTATGAACCTGTAATGAAAGAACAGAATCAGAGATCATAAGACACCAAAGAGGATCAGGTTACCCTTGTAGTTGACCATGGTTGCCGATCCCAATTTCAATTTCAATTCAATTTGTTTGCTCATAAATATCCAGAAAAAACATGCAAACATTTATAAATCAACATGATACAAAGGGTAAAATTCACAAGAAAAATTAATAACAAAGTATACATTTGGATTAAGGATGAGAGGGACAGCAAGAAAGGAACAAGCCTTGTGATTAGCTGAACCCGAATCCCTTAAGGCTAGGGTATGAACCTGTAATGAAAGATCAGAATCAGAGATCATAAGACACCAAAGAGGATCAGGTTACCCTTGTAGTTGACCATGGTTGCCGATCCCTTAGGGCTAGGGTATGAACCTGTAATGAAAGAACAGAATCAGAGATCATAAGACACCAAAGAGGATCAGGTTACCCTCGTAGTTGACCATGGTTGCTGATCCCTTAGGGCTAGGGTATGAACCTGTAATGAAAGAACAGAATCAGAGATCATTTAAGACACCAAAGAGGATCAGGTTACCCTTGTAGTTGATCATGGTTGCTGATCCCTTAGGGCTAGGGTATGAACCTGTAATGAAAGAATAGAATCAGAGATCATAAGACACCAAAGAGGATCAGGTTACCCTTGTAGTTGACCATGGTTGCTGATCCCTTAGGGCTAGGGTATGAACCTGTAATGAAAGAACAGAATCAGAGATCATTTAAGACACCAAAGAGGATCAGGTTACCCTTGTAGTTGATCATGGTTGCTGATCCCTTAGGGCTAGGGTATGAACCTGTAATGAAAGAACAGAATCAGAGATCATAAGACACCAAAGAGGATCAGATTACCCTTGTAGTTGACCATGGTTGCTGATCCCTTAGGGCTAGGGTATGAACCTGTAATGAAAGAACAGAATCAGAGATCATAAGACACCAAAGAGGACCAGGTTACCCTTGTAGTTGACCATGGTTGCTGATCCCTTAGGGCTAGGGTATGAACCTGCAATAAAAGAACAGAATCAGAGATCATAAGACACCAAGAGGATCAGGTTACGCTTGTAGTTGACCATGGTTGCTGGATCCCTTGGAGCTAGGGTATGAAGCTGTAATGAAAGAACAGAATCAGAGATCATAAGACACCAAAGAGGATCAGGTTACCCTTGTAGTTGACCATGGTTGCAGATCCCTTAGGGCTAGGGTATGAACCTGCAATGAAAGAACAGAATCAGAGATCATAAGACACCAGAATGGGAAACAACCAAGGAGAAAGTGGTTATCCTTGAGACCTTAAAGTTGATCATGGTTTTAATAATTGACAGTCGAACATTCTGTTAACTTCATTATCTGTTTAAAGGATTCAGAAACCCTTTTTGATTCAAACCATGTGTAACACAGGTTTCACCATATACATTGTACATGGTGTAACACAGGTTTCACCATATACATTGTACATGTACTTTACAGTACATGAACATGTACAGGGGTGTATCACTAAAAATTTACCAGATAATAGTTTATAGTTTAGGTCTTGTTCTAAAACAGGAGATTTTCAGCTTTGAATTGATACAGGTACATGTACATGTACAGCGTGTATTAAAAAAAACGGTACCCTAATCATAAAGTTACATGTACAAACATGTATATCCAATATATGACTTTGAAATCTATTTTATGATTAAAAGTAACTTGCATTTTCTGTCCAATGATAGCCATAACATTTACACAAGTTTTCTCTCTATTATCGATAAAAAACATTACTTTGGATTTTGGAAACATTTCTCACACATGTACTGTACATGTAGTTTTGTCAAACAAAACATTATTTTCTAGTTCTATTTGCTTGGACACACAGTAAATAATACAATACTAAATATAGTACCAGCAAATTATAACCATTTACATGTACGTTTTACGACACTGTGACTCTGTTTGATTATTTTAAGTTACTGTACATGCTAGTGTTGCACATGCTAGGAGCAGGTCAATAAACTTTTGGAGGGAAGATGCGACTTCCGACGCTGTTGCAAGTACAGCAGCATGCTTGAACACTGAGCAAATTTCTCAAGCTGATGAAGACCCTATTTGTAACTTCGGGCTAATTTACCAGATCACAAAATAGCGGGCTATCTGGCCAACTCGGGCTGATGGAGATAGACCTATTCATCTTCCAGCACGTAGTGTATTGGGTTTAAACCATGAATGTCTTTGTTTTAATAGCACAAGCACATACAAATGTAGTGTTCAGTGTACTGTACATGTAATTGGAAAATGGCCATTTCCTTTAAAACCAAGACATTTGACCGTGAAAATCATAAATTATTCATGTACTGTTGCCCTTATTTTAACCGGAGGAAAAAATAAAATGTAAATCTGTGAATATTCAGACATGATTTTATGCCTATTAAGTATGAATTTTGATATTTTGAGATGACCTCTAGAGAGCTAAGTTGACTTCAATTGCTGTCTCTATCTTACAGGCTTCTCATGAACCTTGCTGTACATCATCCAATGTACAAGACTATTGGAGATCATGATCTATAATGCAAATTAAGCCCAGTGTCTGGTGTTACATGTATGTACAATTTAATGTACACTGTACATGTACATTGTACCAGCTCATCAGTTTGTAGTGTGCACCCTCCATCATACAGTACAGTAGATCTATAGACATACCGGTAACCTGTTTCAGGAGAATTTTCCATATTTAGTTCTTGTTGTAATCCAAATTTTCAACATTCAATATCCCTCTGAATAATCCCTATATACTGTACATGTATCAGACTATCACTAAATACAATATGAGGAGTCGGTGTCATTTCTCCTTTTATTTTAATCTAAATTCTCTTTCAATGCATAATTGATTAGTTTCATTTCCAGAGAAATCATGTAAATTTGCAATAATCATCAAACTTATCATTAAAGGGAGTGTAGCTTGACGAGACTACAGGTATGTATCTTTCCTGTGGCCTGACTCGGGAGCCAGGGCCCATTGGGTAAACGACTACAGAAGACGCAACTGCACCAATCACGTGCGTGCAACATTCGCGAAACCGAAGCAATCAGGAGAACTTTGGTCTGTTTCGCAAATGCTCACCATGTAGAGATTAAGTCACTGACTACCCTTGATCAAGTCCCTTCGTTTACTTGCAGTTGCCAAAAGAAGACTTACATGTAGATAGCGTTAACCAGTATTCACCAAGCTACACTCCCTTTAATGATCAATACTTAACATCTATAATGACGTTACTCTAATTATTTGTTATCAATATTGTTATCAATATTATTAGTATTAACATTTCATTCATATCATTATTTAATTATCATTAGCATTAGCATTATCATCATCATCATCATCATCATTATCATTATTATAATTATTATTATCATCATCATCATCATCATCATTGTTATCATTATTAGTAGTAGTAGTAGTAGTATTATCATCATCATTCTCAGACATTATTATTACCTGAACCCAGCACGCGAGTCCATTCTCGTGTACTCAGGTCAAGATTCCACATGTCATTGAAAGCAGTTCTTGATCCAGAGCATCCTCCAAAGAAGAAGATTTTACCATTGACGTAAGCCACGCTATGAGAGCTTCTCCCAGTCACTGGTGTGGATGGACATTCGCAAGAACTCCATTTCAGTACACCTTCGCATGCAGCATTGACAAAAGCTTGTTTGCGCTTCAAGATCACACCTGAAAAGTGAAAAAACAGAGAGCGAGAATATAAGAAACACCGAATTAAACCTAAACAATTTCTCATTCAATGAAGCGATTAACATTACAGTGTACATAGATAAGAATCACTGTATGGAACCTACATTATACAAGTGTAAAATCAATTCTCATTCAATTAAGCAGAAAAATGAGAGTTCAGTGAAAATTTGAACAAATAGTGATTTAAAAATGCCCGCTGAGCTGAGCCAACTCAACTCCTCAAGGCTCAAGTATGGTCACACTCACAGTTCTGGACAAGCGCCAATAATATTTATAAATATAAATTATAATTACCCCAGTACATGGCCATGTTATGGACATGTAGACCTAGATCTAGACCCTTTAACAAAATTATTGTATATTTTTAAACAAAAATTAAATGTTTGCATGTTTGCTGTTGTTGTTTTTGGTGTACCACTACCACTTGTAGTTGTACAGGCCAAAGATCTGGACTAGATTCTCTAGCTGACAAGGGTGCCTGTTTATTAGTATAGGGCAGGTGCTACTAGTTCAGAAGTAGATCCAAACTTTGAGCCATAACTCCGGGTGGAGATACCCTACTAAAACATACCCAAAATGAAGTAATTATTGATCAAATGTTCAAATAAACAAAATGATTTATAAGTCGATATGTTTGTTACCTGTTTAATGTCAATTTTTTTTTCTTTTTTTCAGAGTATGTTTCCTAAAAACGAAGGCTTATAATATGCACTTTCTCACAGGATTCACGGCAAACTGCAGCACAATACAATTGCATACAGTGTATCTACCTACGGTGGGGTGCGGGCACACGTGTGTTTCAGTTAGCAACCATAAACTAAGATTAAAGTCGCTAACTTAACACATGCGCGCGCCCGCACCTGACCGTCGAGACGGTATGTTATTGTATTGTGCTGCAGTTTGCTGTCAATCCCCACTCCAGCAAAGCATAGAGAGTCCATGCTAATGCGTATGGACCTCTAGCACTGCATGTATGTGGTATGCACGGGGTGGATTTTTTTTAGTATTAAGATCATAAAATGTAAGACAAATACAACATAACATAGGTTGTTATATTTGTCTTACATTTTACAGTATTTAAGATTATTAAATTATTTTTATAATAGAAAAAAAGAATTCAAAACTAACTTTTAAAGCCCTTTTTCCTCCTTCTTTTACAGAGACGGCAGCAAGATTCCCTCCTCGATTGCGATGACATCAAAACTGCGCACTTTACGCACACCATACACTGACTTCTACATGCGCTACAATTCGCCACAAAGACAGCTCGCCCCTGAACAACTCGACACAATACCCTCCCTGGATATCTCGCCACAATACCCTGGACAACTCGACCGTAGCAAGTTGTGCAGGGTATTGTTGCGAGATGTCCAGGGTATTGTGTCGAGCTGTCTTGGGGCGGGTTGTTTTTGTGGCGAGTTGTCTAGGCCCCGGTGAAAACATACGTGACTCGTGACCCGTGGCTCTTGCGCAACATCTGACGGGTAGTTTTCTTATCTCGCAGACGTTTTCATTTATTGCTTTATCGCAGGTTTAAAGCACCTAGGCCTCTTATTCCGTACAAATTTCTAGATAGACTTTCAAAATGCTTATTATTAGTATCATTATTAATATTATTATTATTAAGACCCCAAAATTGCTAAATTGAATATTATACTTTGGAATTATATAGTAATGCTCCGCCACCTCTGTCGGCTAATAGTTGGGCTGAAATGTATAATGTATTTAATATAATACCAAACTCTAAAAACGCTCGTACGCAATAGCCTACCGCTGAGCTGTGTACACAACCGATCGCGTCCATATCAACATGCATATATTCGGACGTAAGCGGTCGCGAACGGTCTTTAAAAACAAAGGTCATAAAATCCAAAAATGGCGCACGTTAGCTGAATTGCGGATGGGCTATAAGCAAACAAGTAGGCCAGATGTCTGGAAACCAAGGAAATTTACACCAACGAAACTTGTAAGTTCCATTCCTTATTTATTTGTGATGGGTTATATCCCATTTAATTAATTAGTAGGACATTTGAAAGTGTCGTACCGCAGGCTTTCAAATGTGTCGCGTTAATGTGCTGGTGCCAGTGTTGCCTGTTTTACTACACAGTCAGGATAGTGATGCTCCTATGTGTGGTCAATCCCGTGAGAAAGTGCATATCATAAGTCTTTCTTTTTAAGAAAAATACTCTGAAAAAGATAAGAAAATTGACACGAAACAGGTAACAAAGATATTAACTTTTAAAATCATGACCTTTATTTGGACATTTGATGAACATTTTCTTCATTTTGGGTACCGGTATAGACTAGATGTTTAAGTTGGTATCTCCACACCGAGTTACGGGTCAAATTATGGATAGACTTCTGAACTAGTGCCAAAGGCAAAGGGCCTACTTGGTGTCATGGACCCCCGTCCCCCCTTACTAATAATGCTGAAAGGGGGGGGGAGGTGTTGAAAAGGCTCGTAATAGTCGTATAACAAAAGAAAAAGATCTAGTCTAGACAAGATCAACCCATAATGCCGTATGACTTTACTCTACTCAGCTCAGAAAGGGGGAGGGGGTGCTGGGAGCGGTGGCAATGCCATGCATTTGCGTACCCTAAATATTATTATTAACACTGAGTAGGGCATGGATGTCCTGAGTTCTCAATTTTCACTTCTCTGTTCATGTCGTGTTTGACTATTTCTTTTGAATAAAGGTAGACTCTAACGCATATTCACCTTGAATGAGACGTCTCCACAGTTTGCAAACCCGAGCAGCGACATGTACTTCGCTGTATGGGGAAAGATAGGATAACACACGCTCCAGTATTTCTTCCGGTAGATCATTGATAATGAATTCAGGCGGTAGTGGAGACGAAGGAACATCCTCATCAGTATCCTCCATTTTCACGTCCCTACGGATGTGATTTATACTTAAAAAGTGTCCAAACTGAAGAACGTAATCCAATTAGTCCTGCTTGGAAGAATGTGTCTATTTTTTCTACATAATTCGACGATTTCACTTCGTGTTTCGAGTGTCGGAGTGATAGATGGCGTACATTCCTTTCCGAGAAATCGCAAAGCAATAATTACAACACGTACGTACGTACGTACGTACGAATTCCAGACAACTCGCCACAAAGACAACTCGCAACAATACCCTGGACATCTCGCCACAGTACCCTGGACAACTCGCCATGGTCGAGTTGTCCAGGGTGGGGTGCCTTTTCGGACAGCTCGCCTCACTTTTTTCCCCTCATGATTTCTATCCCTCATCTTAGATAAAATTGTCAATTTTCATGATTTTCGTGCTTTTTTAAACACCGTTATGACAAAGAATAAAGAATAAAGCTGATTTCCCTTGCAACAAGAATATATTTTTGACAAACCGAAGGCGTACGATCGCCAGATGTTGGGATAACTTCTCGGTATTAAGAAATTTATAACAGCTGCATTAGTTTCTGTCTCAGAATTTTTTTAATGGTAGGAATTTATATGTTTTCATGGAAGAATACTAGAAGCACTGGCGTACTGATGGGAGGGGGGGGGGGGGCAGTTGACCCGCGAAATAAAATTGAAAAGTGGTTTATTTCTAGATTTTCTGGGTTAGTTTCGCACTTTTGCCCACAGTCAGTGAGGCGGCATTTTTGGTTGGGGGGGGGGGACAAAGTGCCCCACTTTTTCAGGTTCCCCTAAAATGCCCCCTTATCCTTTGTACATACACCTTTTCCCTTCTGATAAGTGCCTACTTTTCTTTCTCCATGATGCACCTCTATAATTCGGTGTATCTAAGAGCCCTTATAAATTATAGTGCTTAATGCTTGCGCGTTTATAGATGGTTTAATTATAATGTTACTCATAATTACTTAAAAGAACTTTTCAGTCTTTCTTCATTAGATTGTGCTTAATATTCATCATGTAATTTTTCAAATGGAACCTTATACTTTTTGCTCGCTTGCTCGAAAATCGATATTTAGTCCATCACACCCAATTGCGAAGTATACGTTGCTTGAGCAATATGTTGTTCCACGTAAAGAAATAAACAAATATTGATGTCATTCGTGGTAGTGTTAGTAAGCGGGGGTAAGCGGACATTTTTTTTTTTTGCGTCCAAAAAAAAATCGCAACGACTCAACCAGCCGAAAAGTCGCTCAGTGGGGGGGGGGGGGGGGGGGGGGGGGGGGGGGGGGGGGGGGTAGTGAGCACATTTTTTTTTTTTTTTTTGGTCCTCGAAAATTTTAAAATTTGCACCCCCAAAAAAGGTAAAAATCGCGTGATTTTACATGATTTTTTTTCTCAAGGGGGGGGGGGCCGGGCCCCCGGCCCCCCCCCCCCCCCTGGATCCGCCACTGGTGTTAAGAAAGACTCTCGGACATCTGCAGTATGAAGTTGCACCTGAAAACACTTCGTGCTTTTTGTTAAAGCAAAGAAAAATATACGGACTTGTCCCTGTTGATGTTTTGCGGAATAAAAATGACAATAATAATATAATCATTTATAATAATAATAATAAGTTACAATAATAATAATAATAATAAAATGATGTAGGTGTTTATTTGACATTTTCATTGATCTTGCAGGAAAAGGGTGCTTTATCATTAAATATAATGATTATGTATGCATTACTTGCTCAATATTATGTTATTATTTGTTATTCTCTTAATTCTGTATAATTTGTCTCTGTTATGTCTTACTTCCCTTTGTTTTATTCTCTCTCTTTCTCCCGCTTTCTTTCCTCTCATAATTTATTCTTTTGCATCATGACTCTCCTTTCTCTCTCTCTCTCTCTCTCTCTCGTCCTCTCGCAATTTCATGCATGTCTCAGCTCTTATACATCAGTGTATCCCAGCAGCACACTGCTGCTGGGTCGAGTAATCTCCTGGTTTTCCCGACCTGCTAGCGACTTTAACCTAGAAATCGTACATTATTTACTATGTAATGTAGACCGAGTATCATAATAGATCTTGCTTTGCTAGATATTTTGTCATTATTGTTGATATTAACTTCATCAGATGTTTGCTTTTTCGTGAAAATGGGGTAAGGAAGAATAGCAAAAAAGTACAGAAAATATGTCTCAAAACCTGGATCAAATGCTTCCTTGAGGAACAGATATGGATAAATATAAAATCACGAATACATCCATCTAGCTCAGATAGACGTGGAATTAAATATCAACCTCCCCATAATTTTGTACACCTGTTGCAGATTATGGTTACAATAGTTCATAGTTCATTTTATTTCTTCTTTCACAAACATTATTTTGTACATATAAATTCAAATAAAGTAAACTGGAACAGCAGTTTATCAATATAACAAAGTCATTTGAAGTGCAATAGTAATGTTAAACATACAACTCTTGTTATTAACTGAAATTCTATAAAAAGTTACTCATGTATAGTTGCTCATGTTCTGTACATATAAGAAAGAGGAGACCTGGTCTTGTTAGAGCAAGGTCCCCAAACAGAACCTGAATGCTTTGATTACTTTGAATAAAAAATACTTAATAATTAAACTTCGTTAACCCTAAAAAGGCAGGGCTATTTGAGTTCTTACTACGGCCAGGGGGGGGGGGGGGCATTATGCCCCCTTAAGATCTCGGCTGCTAAGCGGCTGATCGCCGCGAAAATTTGCGCGCATGTCAACTGAACTGTATAGAATATTATGATAATTTCAATTTTTTGACAAATTTACTCATTTGCATATTTATGGTAATTTATGCAAATAAAGTCATAAAAATCACATTTTTACCCATAAATCATATATTATTCATAATTATTTAAGCATGCTTTTTCACTACATATATTCAATAGACCATTCTGAATAATAATACAACAAAAAAATTGGAAGAGCAAGCTTATTTCTTATGTTATCCCTTGTTTTGATAATTTTTTATGTATTTCATTGTTTTTTAACTTATGTATTTCATTGTTTTTGTTGTTTTATTTAATTTCTTACTACAATTCAACTATTTTTACTCCCTAAACAACCACCTAAACTTTAAACAAGACCCAATAACCCATGTTTGATCTGTTTTTAGGAAAAATGACTTTTCCATATGTTTTGTACACAAATCACGAAAATGAGCAATTTTCGGGCTGACATGCAAAGACAAAAGGTCACGTGACCTTGTAACCTAAGGTCCGATTTTCAAGAAAATTATTTTAAAAGTTGCGCAAGACTCGAAAGAAAAACGTCAGCGAGCGGCGGGGCGCCATGCGCTCCCGAGCAATCGAAAAATTCGTGGAGGGGGGGGGGCATAATGGCCCCTCCCCCGGCCTTGTTAGGGTTAACATACTAGAAAGATACATAACAGCATATTCCTACCATTAAACAAGTTTCCTGAAACAAAAAAATGAACTTAAAAATCAAAAAGTTATCCGGTGATCGTATAGTCGTACTCCTTAGGTTTGTCCAAAATAGATTCTTGTTGCGGGTCTTGTTAATTGCAAGCGCAAGGAAAATCATCGTTTTTCTTTAGAACAGCTCTCAAAATACTCACAATTTCCATGTTTTCTGTCATGACTGTGTTTATAAAAGAATAATGAATACATAAAATGACAATTTCATCTAAGATGAGGGATTTTAGATCTAGAAATCATGAGGGGAAAAAAGTGTGGCGAGCTGTCCGAAAAGGCACCCCACCCTGGACAACTCGACCGTGGCGAGTTGTCCAGGGTACTGTGGCGAGATGTCCAGGGTATTGTGGCGAGTTGTCTTGGGGCGAGTTGTCTTTGTGGCGAGTTGTCTGGACCCCCTTCAATCATGCATCCGTCAAAGGACTTGAAGATAAAATGAAGGAATTTTAAATTTCATCCACTAATGTTTTGCTCAGTGGGCACGTACGTATCAGCTTTAAAAAAATGAAAAAAGTGAAACTCACAAATCCCAGTCGAGTTAACTAAGTAGTGTGAAAACAGCTTTAGTAAATGGACCTATTGTGACATGTTGATGGTGTTTTCATGCTGTATTTGTGGTGCTGTATTATGCCCCCTAAATACCCCCCTGTTATTTATCGTTACGAGCGAAAAAAAATCCCATTAAAAACTCTCAGAGCTCAACATTATTTCTTTCTTTCTTTTTCTTTCTTTTGCCCTTTCTTCCCTTAAAAGAAATTAGGCTACCCCGCTGCCATTCCAATGTAGGCTTTATAGGCTACAGCTTTTTTTTTTTTTTTTTACATAAGCTTTGCCGAAAGAGAATTTGAAATTTAAAACCCCAGAGCTTACGGGGGCTCCACCCCCGGACCCCACGCCATTTTACGCTCTACCTGATCGATAATAATTCACTTTGAAAAACGTTCCGCGGGGCCTGCCCTGCATGTAACGTGTAAGAGTAATGGTGATGCAGATTTTTCTTCTCCCCCCCCCCCCCCCCCTTCAAACCGTTTTTTGCTCGTTACGTCGATCACTGCCCCTGGAAGGTGAGCCTCCGGCGCTCCTGAACAGAACGTAATTATAGTCTGTCGGATTTAGGGGGATCTCCAAGGCAGGAAAGCCCGCGAAAAGCCCGCGAAAGGGGGTTCAGATAGGGTGCTTTCAAAGAGAGGGAACAAGCATACACGTACCCTAAATAACACTGAGTGGGAGGGCCGGGAATTTGATAAGAAAAGAACAAAACAGAGAATTCTTCATGTTTGTTTTACCTCTTGAATTAACCGTTCGTTCGTTCACAGATAGAAGAAGATATCTAGACCATGGATATCCCTCCAGAAATGCTGAAAATGTAAATTAGTATACATTATTATGAGGAAATAAAGAAGACCAGAAATAATAATTTTCCACACCCAAAAATAGACAACAGGCTTTTGAAATTCCCCCAGACTCTGATTAAAAAAATAAAAAATGACATGAAAAAACGAAATAAATTCTATCACCATAATAATATTTTCAAAGATTTTTTTTGTATGTATTGCGTCAAATCACTCAAATCCAACATTTTTGTTGCTATGATAAATGAGTCACTTACCGAATCAAAATACAATACAAAAGAGAATCTTTTTTTTTTTTTTTGGAGTCCAAAAAAAAATCGCAACGACTCAGCCAGCCGAAAAGTCGCTCAGTGGGGGGGGGGGGGGGGGGGGGGTGGGGGGGG